AGTTCTCTAAATTTTTTAAAGCAAACCAATCTTGATTTATTCAATCCAATGATCAGCAGGGACAGACAGGATCCCCTTATGCTTTACTCATGACAGTCCATGATTGGCCGTCCAGTATAGTATGGTAATACTACACAGTCAGCTTCTATAGCCTTATAGAACACCTCATTGCTACAGAGCTTGTTCCAACCTGTATAAAATATATTGAATTAGTGATTGCTGATGTGGAATTGGTTTGATAAAAGCACACCTGCCTAGGCAACACTTGCGACAGAGTGGGATCCTGTGAAAATGAGGTACGGGGCCCTGAAAGGTAGCAATGAAAATACTTACCCCACTGTATAATCTAACAGAAATGGTTATGATAGGTACAGGGAGTAGGCAAAAATCCTCTGATGAAGAGACTGCCAGATCATGCAAGTAATGCGAGATAAAAGTATTGGGGGAGGTACACATACCAGTCTGCACAAAGACTGACAGCGGGCAATCCAACGAGGCTGCTAAGGACATAGAAAGGTGACAAATCTGATTAGACGTGACTCACAAAATATTCCTTGCCTTCAGAGAGATCCCAAAATAAAAAGTCATTGTCTAGCATCTCTAAAGGTATTAGTGCAGGTAACAAAAGCTTCAAAACCCTCACTGAACATGATTATGATCGAAATCTGATCAGACATAGAAGTGAGAAATAGTGATCAGATGAATCAGTGAAAAGGATTTATCCCCTTCCCTGTTTGACAGTCTCTTGGGTAAGAAGAACTGGTCTGAGGATTTAGAGAGAATGAGAAAGCAATCAGTTGACAAACAGTGCAAATCACCCTGACCAATGATATCTGTAGGTCAGCAGCCATGAAATATAAACCTTCATGTAAAGGGGATACATAGCATATAAGAGTCAGGTCACAAACAGGTGTTGAGAAAGAGCATGTAATGTTACCTTAATATACCTGTTAGTTGACCGAAATGGTCATTTGGGACCAAGGACCCAAAGTGACTTGAAGAATCCAAAGAGGACTGGGGACTCAAAGAATATGTAGTCATAAGAATAGAACAGTAGTCGATAAGGCTGCCTTAAACATGGTAAATGTAGAAGATGTAAAAACCTCTGCCAAAAAGCCAGGTCAAAAAACGAGTTATGGTTGGCAGTTCTGTTCAAAATGGATTCATTCTCCTCTCAATATGCCAATATGCATGTAATTTTCGTTGACAAATGTTCATCTCAAGACTAAGCAGAAACTGAGACAGATACATGACACCCTTAAAATTAAACACCAATGCCATGCAAAAGACTGCATAACCTCTATGTCTGCAGCTTGAGCTTCTTGATAGCCAGGTGTACCATGTCAAATCATTGCTGCCTCCACAGAAATACCCTAAGAAGTGGAAAGTGTGGACACTCCAGAAGGTACCACAGAAGCAGAAACTAGGGTGTAGCAGCCAATCTGGTGCAATTAACAGGACCCGACAATGGGTTGTAACAAATCATATTTAGTACCCTGGGTAACATATGAAATGGAGAGAAGGCCTAGAGTTGTAATTCCATCCTGCCCTGATGGGATGCATCCATTGCCAAAGCCGGAAGATCAGGTACTGGAGACCAAATTTCCAGTAGTTGGGTGATCCAATGAGAGGCCAATCCACCAATCAGAGTTGCAAAATGAGAGCCAATCCAACAGAACCTTCTGATGCAAAATTTACTCTGTAGGGAGGATCTGTTTTGATTAACAGAATTAACCTGTTACCGAGGGCATCACCCGTGGAACATGGCAAGCTAGTAAGGTGATAACATAGGAATGGTCCGAAGAAAAGAGCTCCAGAATTTGAAAACAAGGAGCCCTGGACCAAATGCCTCCTCGATGAGAAACACAAGACATCACTATAGAATTGTCAGAGTGAAGCCTGACGATTTTCCCATTATTAAGCCCAGACCATGAGACATTGTCTGTTGAAGATCAAGCAGAACTGAAACATTGTGTAGGGAAACCTCTTCATCTGTGCATAGACCCTGGAATTTCTGACTTTTAGTATATGCATTCCTTCACTGAAGCAAAGCAATCATGAAGAGATGGTACTCTGGACGAGGTGTTGGTAGAGGAACCCATATCGTAGTAGTGTCTCTACTTAACAACCCTTCAAGATCAAAGAGTGATACTGAGTAAGTAAACTTGAGAATCCAGTGAATCAATGTTTATGATCTCTTGGTTCCATAAAGACTATTCCAGGAAGAGAAAAAACATCTATGCAGTGGGAAAATGAGAGGTAAGAATCGGACATTCTATTCCATAGTGTTGAGCTGGATGGGAGTCATCTGAGCCCGACTGAGAGACAAAATGAAAAGTATCCAGACTAATGACATATTGAATTGGAGCAAGAATAGATGCCTCAGTCCTTAAAAATGAAGCCTGCCTTGGTTTTTCTGAATGTAGAATCAGGATGTGATGGTCTGACAATTAACGAGATGGTGCCAGCAGTAAACATTCATCGATGTAATGGTGTATGCACAGTGCAATGGAATGGAGGTGATGAAAAAAAAACCTCCTACGATACAGCAGAACCCATGTGACACCGATGCAAGTCTAAGGTAAAAACCCAGAACTGCAGTACCTGACCCTTGTGCACAACGAATGCTGATAGTGTGGGACCCCACCACTATGGCAATGTGCACATAGGAGCCAACTACAACAAACTTGTAAATCTACAATCCCAGTAAGAAAAATCAACTCAGATTGAAGAATGAGTAATTTGTAAACCTTGGAGGATCTAGGTATTGATATAGACAAGAAAAATCGATGACTGATCACCAATTCCTGTCTGCACAAGCCCAACAACCAACAGGAATAAAACCACTGGAGAACTAGCAGGACTCTCTCACTACCCCCAAACCAACCAAATTCTGATAACACTAGAACTAAGTTCCAAATCCCAATGATGTGCGGGAGATGAAAACCCTACAGGTTGGGTGGATAATAGTGATAAAGATGTGTTCTGAATGACTAATCCTGACTCAAGGAACAGCAGTGCTCCTGGATCTGGGGTTAAGGTTACCACACGTCCAGAAATTCTCGGAGCTAAGCCCTCACAGAGCCTGAAGGTATAAAATAATCACCAACGCCACTAATGGTAATCCGACCGAGCAGAACAATATAGACAGAATCTATTCTGGGTACCAATGTACCAAGTGGCTGATTTCTGGAGTCAGAACTATGACCCCCTGTAAGAGCCAATGAAGTTCAATACTTCAACAACAACAGAGAGGAATGTAGAAGCTGAAAATTGAACCAATGTGCATGTGAACAATGGATCCAGCTCATTATCAATGAAGTTGGTGATCCTGAGTGTCAACAAAATAAAGTGCAAGAAAAACAAAATGGTGGATTTTAGAGTTGTAAGTCCGTAGACTTACCCTGTTTCACCAGGGGACATAACTCAAGTTAACTACAGACTCCACCTTAGAAATTTGAGGAGCAGAAGTATTATTTGAGAGTAAGAAAATACTTAAAACTGGCAGTGGTAGGCTAAAATCACAAAGTTCTAACAAGTGTCAGATAAGGCCTAACTGTCCCTTCACGTAACTGAGAATTAAACCTTCCAGCATGAAGCACAATATCCGTGGATGAAGAGAAAAAACGAAAATTCGTTCCCAAACTCTTCAGCCATCAAGTAAGGAGCATGCTTAAAAGCAATCAGGAAAGAGCCCAAAACATCACACTCTCATATAACCAACAGAAAAAAAAATCAAAGGCAGCTTATCCCAAAGTGGCTTCCTGTTTGTATTTTGTTTTTTTATAGGTCATTTAAAGACTGTGTTGATTAGAACAACATTGTGTCAGGGAAATTGTTTTGTTAGAGCATCCGTCGCATCCACCATAGGGAATAGAACCCTAGACCCCAGTGCTGTAAGTCTGCAAACTCACCATTGTCCCACAGGGAGACTGAAAAGCCAACAGACTAAAAGAAGGTGCAGGAAAAGCAAATCTAAATTCTCTCCAGAATGTTGAGGATTGCCCTCTATTGCAGCCTCAGAGCTCCACAGAGGACCACCACAGAATCAAATATATATCATCTCATTACAAAAAAGATCGGAGAGACCTGATTTGCCTACGTGCCAAAATAATAATCCGGGAATTCATACCGGAAATCAGCTTGCCGATCGAAATAATTTCTTTTTTTTACTGGAATACCTGTTAGTGAATCTTTTTCGAGAATGAAGTGCTTATATACAGTACTTGGATAGAGGGTGCATTGACATAGGTGGCAAGATAAATATCACCAAGGGCAATTGAGTGGGGCATAAAAGACTCGAGCAAGTGAGAAAAAATCAGACCAATGCTTAAATGAGCAAAGGAAAAAACCCTGGCAGTCAAGAAAAAAAAGTTATGTTTCTGGTTTTTAATTTTAAGTTTGTTTAAGCCCAACACTATGCCTTTCTTCAAGAAACATCCATGTGGTATCATTTGTGTAAATTAAAGACCAGAAAGTCTTTGTTTCAGGTTTATTTATCTTTCACAGATTTATATGTCTATATAAAGCAGACCTGTTTATTTGGTTTATTACAAAAAATGCAAGGAATGAGAGAAAAAATACACAATTGTGCACAAATTTTATTAGTTTTTAATACTATACCAACTCTGCAAGTGAAAAAAAGTACCAAGCAATGAAAAACAGTACTAAAATATTGGGGAGGCTAAGTGATGTTACTTATGTTGAAAAACTTACTGATATATAAATAAGAATATTTGTTATATTAGGTAAAATATGTGGAAATTACTAGTTGCAGCACCATACAAAGACATTGATAGATCAGACCTTATTTTGAATGGTGATAGCTATTTTTTCCCTTTATTAAAACAGCCCAAGAACTAATGTTATTGAAAAATATATTAAATCAATGAGAATTGTTTGTAGAGAACTGTAACTCTGTCCTTAGTACCTGTACCTATCAGCCTACCAAAATACCTAAATATGACTAATATATTATATTTATTATACTTAATACTTACAGAAGCAGGTGGTGGACTAATATGATTGTATAATATTTCTTTATAATGATGCTCATCAAGGATTATATGATATGTACCTAAAAAAAAAGACAAAAATGATTATTCTTAATTATAGATATATCAACAGAAATGGTGATATATATATATATATATATATACTTTGTTGGAGATGTGAAGGACAGAACAATAACACTATAACATGCAATTCACTTTCACAAAGTTCTTACATTTTATGGAAGTAATATGAATTCCACCATATGATTATTTTTTTAGTTGTCATAAGTGAATGCATTTTTTAGAACCATCTAGTATTATGTTCTCAATTATCAATGCTCATTATTTGAGTTATTTTGTTAAATGTTGTGAGTGAAACATATAATATTTTGTATGTTTAAACATCAAATTTAATTAAGGTAATTCAAAATGTTCATAGATTAATTAATCTGCATTGTTAAACTTAGCATATCAAATTTAATTCTAACTAGCTGAATTTTTTTATTTGCTTTTGTTCAGTTATTTGCATTTGTATAATCCTCTAGGCATGTACTTGTTTCAGTCATATCATGCTCAAAACCACTGTCAGGTAACTCAGATTCAGAGCCAGAATCATCATCAGATTGTAAAAGTTCCATTGTCTCTTTACGTGTAAAACCAATAGAGCAATTTGATGCCATTATTAGTCTGTTTTCTCATAAAAATTAAACAATTTTGAACTGCAAATATTACTGATGTTTTGAATAGTAACATACGCCATGTTGAATAAGAATCAGGAGCTGTGATCATCATCTGTATATTGATTCTGTGTCCTTGTTTCACATTTCTACCAGGAAATTCAAACCACATTATGTAGTCGCCATATAGCAACAGGTGCACCTACAGGGTTAAGAAGTAACCTTTAATCAAAAGCTGAATTTTGTAAACATTCAATTCATAACCAATGATCAACTGTTTTGTTTTTCTGACACAAATGTATGCATGTCATTTGATGCATATAAGCCACATCAATCTTGAGCCAGAAGATTTAAATATTTGAAGCATTTTTCAAGCCAAGTGAAACTCCTGATATTAAAAAAAATACACTAATATTGCTTACAAGCTCAAATCCACTGGCTAAACGAAAATTCTAATTGGAGTTTTAACCAAGTCTCACTGAAGTTACATGAGAGATGTACACACACACACACACATATATATATATAACAGTTACTTTTAATGATTGTCCTCAATACTAATACCAATGTTCCATGACTAACAGATGGCAGCAAAACTAATATTCAAGTTAGAGTTTTTACCAAGCCATGTGCTGAAGTTACACAAAATATATATTTAAAACTGTTGCTTTTACTGTTTATCTGCTAAATGCTATACTAATAATGTTCCATGTCTTATATATGACAGACAAACTACACACGAGTTATAGAATGTATATTTACCACTTTCCTTATTTTTCTGTTTGTCATCTAGTGGATATAAAACCAGTGCATAATCCTCTCTTATTTCTTGACTTTTAAAGCTATTCAGTGGTGACGACTTAGTGAATGATAAAAATGTAAGTACACTTTCACAAACACAAGATGTGTGAGGTGAGCTAAACATTTTGTGTGAGGTAAGCTAAACATTTTTAGAAGAGAAATTAAACCACAACTGAAACTCCATAATAGAATATAATACCCACCTTGAGTAGTACTGCTGATGTCAAATAAGAAAGTAATTTCTAAGTCATACACATGTGACAATACACACTCACATGTAACACTAAATGCTCTCATAGCAATGGATGTGCAAAACAAAGTACATTTAGTATATGCTGTGTACAAGTAAGTCATGATATGAATTATCATAAACAGTTACTGTTTTGTGTGCATACACATATAAAGATATTCACTGTAACAAATTTATGCACATATCAAGCAGTATATCCAAAAGAGGTAGAATTACATATGCTAATTCAAGTTCATATGGATGGAGTAATTATAAGTCAGCTGAAAGTTGGATCACAGAAATTACCTACATAATGGTATATGTTAGTTTTAATATACTTGTTCAGTGGTAGTAAGGTGAGATAATACTAAATCCTACATTCTGATTTGAAATTTTAACACTTGGTTTTGTTTGGGCAGTTTGCCAAAGTAATAAGCAATTGTAAACAAACAAAATATTAATAAACCTATATTTGGAAAAATAACTACTTTTAGAAAAAAATAAAAATGAAATCACTGAGACTCTCAAACATTTCAGAAATATAAAATCCCCTTATGGTTTGGCAAGAAACAAAGGTATTGCTGTACCTGACCCATTTACTCACTTATATTGTGTGAGACATCTTGTTTTTGGTCCATCACACATGCAAACAAAAATACAGTATAAACCTGCACACAATTCCCTGATATTCCTAATCCTGTGTAATGCAAACACAGCATACCCCTGTTATTCTTTACCCCTGTTCTAACTTACCCTGAGAAACATGGTAGCACTATAACAGTTAGATTTCCATCTTCCATTTTAGATTTACTAAAATTATTTCTCTATTAATAAGCTTTTAAAAAACCTCATTAAAAACACAGAATTTTGCTAAAATAAGTTCAAAATTATTAAAAAGAAACAAATGAAAAACTTTAATAGCAAAATGATTCTATTTGAATCATATATTTATATGCTATATTTCAAAACTTACCTTCTGTGGCTTGTACCAATGCCTTGCATATTCTCAGTTCTGCTGCCAAACCAATTACAGAGCATCGTATTTTTTGGGATTTCAAAGTCTAATTAAAACAAAACTATTGTATCAAAAATAATTATTTAACTAAAAGTTTCAAATGTAATGTTCTATACTATATTACAGCCACTATATTCTACCACTATTTACATGAATATTTGCAAACAACTATATTATAAGATGTTGACTAATAACCAGGCTTTTTCATGTTGTTATAATCAAATACAGGAACAAATGACATCACTTAAAATACTTTTGAACAACACTCACAATTTAAATATATTAAAATTAGTATTATTTTTCTTTTTTTCCAATTAGAGTAAATCTTGAATTCTTAAGTCTCATACCTACCAAGACAAGGGCTACAGTTATTGGTTCCTTGCAAATTCCTTAAGTATTTGAAACAGATATATGGATTTATTAGACATATCTACTATGTGAGGGGTTAAGACTTCTTGTACAGGTACTTTGATTTGGTTTCAAATGGTAAGACAGTGCCTTGGTGGAACAGGAATTCTCTAAGTATACCTTCTAGTAAAAAAACAGAATTTGGAAGAAAACTAAAAGAAGAACCACTCATATTGGGAAACAACAATCATTTCTTCCAGTCCACTACATAAAATAATGTGGAAAAGAAGGCACACAGCTAGGTCGAATCAAAGATACTAGAATGGCAGGCCTAAGAAGAATATAAATAGCATAGCCAAAACAATAAGAAATATCCAATACTTCTGGCTAAATGATAAACCCCAAAGGATAAACAAACAGCGGGGTAAAACTACTCATATAGATACACTTCTGCTTCTAATCAAAGAAGAAAGCCTCAAAGGAAGAAATATTATATAACCAAATCACAATATGTAAAGCTGAACAATTAGTGTATTAGCTAATTGATTAATCATTGGTCCCATTAATTGACTATATTCAATTAATTGTTTAGTTGTGTTCCTCATACCATGATACATACAAGCAAAACTGGTTAGAAGCTTGTGCTGCTAGCCAGTTGCCTTCCCTCTAATCACATCCCTGTACTTGAAAACTTCCAGAACAGAACTCTACTCTGTTTTCAAAAATACCAGACAAATTTAACATAATGGTGTAATTACTAAATACATAAATGACTAAAGAGAACAAATATTTTTCAAAGGTAAAAATGTATTTAGGAGAGAAATGTTTTGTCATAAGAGATAACTAAGGACATTTTCAATGATAGCTGTTCTGATACCCCAAAAGGCATGACATCTTATTTGAGTAATGCACAAGTCTGTAAGTTTCCAACATCTTGAATATCAACACCAGTTACTGATTTATTATATAAACCATACAGTACCTCTTTTATATCAGTCAATAAATGGAAGAAACTGAAGCATACAATTGTTTTCTTCCCCAACAGAAACAACATGGTTAACGAGTTTCATGAGAAAAAACATCTTTATAGTCTCTTTCAGATAGAACAATTCAAACCTTAATCACATGTAATAATTCAATTAATTTACACAGCTAATGAAAAGATTAAATTAATGAAGATTTGGGGTGAAAACATGTTCTTCATACAAAAATTAAACTAATGAAACTGTACAAGATAACAACTAACGTCAAGAGCTAACAACACATCCAGCATTGTCAATGATGTATTAACAGTTTGTAATATCTATATTAAGTCATAACAAGATTATAGGCAGAGCTCAATAACAATTCAAGATATCTGTAAGTCATCTAACAGCTAACCACATGCCAAATCTGAACCAAAAATATTCTGCTATTCCCTTACTTGTAATCTTCAAGAAAGAAGACATAATTAGATAAAAAAAAACAGTTGGAATATTTGTTTATAAATTTGTGACTAATATCTTTTGGGAAATATAATTATCAGAATTTCTTTAAATGTACCAACAAAGATTTCAGTATCTTTATCACCCTAAGTTTTTTAGTGAGGCACTTTCACAAACAGCAACCAGTACTTTGAAAGGCAGTAGATAGCTTGAATTGAGCATATTGTTAGCTCACTAAAGAGTTCTCACATTAATTTTATTTTTCAAGATGTTACTTTTGTGATGTAAGATCCCTAATACAGTTTCTGACATTAGACAACATTTAACCATATGGATTACACTCATAAAGATTGCACACCAAAACAATACTATAATTAATAAAAAACCACCACTCCTTTTTATTTGATCTTCAGCTCAAGTTTTTTTTCAGAGTTGAAAAAAAAGTGACACAAAAACTTCTATTTGTAATATTCCATATGTAAATGGACTAAACCGTTGAATTTTTGTGAGAAAATTTTTTCCATTCAGCTCTAAATGTTTAGTCATATTTTAATAAACAGCTATTTTACTATTATTATTAACCATATTAAGATGGTTCTAAATATCATCTTAGGAGTAGAAACACCTTCTGCAGTGCCTTTAATGTTGAAATCATTTGAAGCATTAAGGTCTTTCTTTATGAAATATTTTAACTATAACTCTTAAAATATTAATTCTGAATTATTTTAAAAGCTAACACATCCAATACAAAATAAAGGACAGTCTTCATGACTAACTACCACTCACTGTAAAATATAAAAACTTCATAAAGAAAACAATAATAAAATCATGGCAATAATGTAAAAGTCAAGAACATGTGGCACTAAATGCCGAATAAGAATTATAATGGTGACATGAGCATAATCTATACAAGATGAAAAAATGTAAGTCATGCTGAAACTACCAAGTTTCTTCATTTTCTATGAGCATTATATTTTCCAGGGTGCCTTACATTCTGTAAACATTGGAAGTAAAATGGACAAACATTTTATTATTTTAAGATTTATTCATGTTATATGATATTATTTACAAGCACATCTAAAATCAAGTGTAAAAACTTATGACCTGAAAGTGTTTAAGGAATTTAACTAGTTACTATATTATGTTGTAATAATACATACTTCTAAATAATGTTAAGTCTGGATTAATAAAGCTAGAAGTCCTTAACCCCCCTCACTGCATCTCTTACTCATTGTACTTGTATCTAGTAAATTTATAAAATGAGAGAATAATTTTTTTAATGAGGTAAAAAATCAATCAGAATATTAATTTTATGCACATGGAACTAGGGGACTCCCAAGGCTGCAAAAAATACTGCATTTCTATCTAAACAATATGAATACAAGAAATAATAAAACACCAAGGCAACATAATCCTATGAAAGCCATTACACTAGGGTCTGAACATATCATTACATGCAATTGTTAAAACTAAATAGGTAACAAGTTGGACTATCCTTATCTTGATCCCCACATTTTTGGATTAATATTAATTCTCACAAAGAAACTAGCCTTCACTCAGAAGAAGGAAGAAATCTGAAATTTGTCCTACCATTAGTCCTCATAATTACATCTTCCAGAATAGTTCTTTTAGGTTTATCCTAATGGTACTAGTGATGGGTTATATATTGATATTTATGATAATCAATATCATCATACAGAAAATCAGGCATTTATTTCCACAAAATGAATTATTAAAATTATTGTCATCTTTAAGCACAATACAAAAATGTATCAAATAATATTTTACAATTTTTTTTCCTGATTAAAATGAATTATTTTGTAATCTGAATCAACATTTACTGAGCTGATAGACTAGGGGTAAAGTAGCTTGAATTCTCTTGTCTAATTGAATAGTAAGATTTGACCATTACCCTTAAGTTCATGGCCCCAAAGAGCATGTTTGTGGTGACACACTGCAAATCCCAAATCCTCAGAACACAGTCCAGGAACACTAACCACTAGATCATACTTGGCCCTATATATATATATGTATATATATCATCCTCACTATGTTCATAATGGCATCTTATTTACATTATTTGATGCAAAATACTTCTTGTTTCTCTGAAACAACTTTCTAATCATATATCAGTGGGAAAGAATCAATAATGTATTAACCTTGCAGTTGATTTTAATATTAGAATTGTATTTGTATTGAATATGTCAGAGGTACCACTAGGCAGATGTTATTCATAAATCTTGGTTCTGTAGCAGTTTTATGATATTAATTATGTTCAAGAGAGACAATTCTTTAATTTCTTCTCATTTTTATAGGTAGAGAAATTGCATGTTTAAAAGTGAACTAGAAAGTTTTCTGTATGAAACAAACTGTTGTTTTTGTTTTAGATTTATCTAATAACCATTGCTGTAGTTGCTTATAAAAGACAATATACAAAGTATTCTCATGCCAGCCTTTTAGTGATGTGATAAATTAAAAATATCATTTCACTAATCAATTTTCATTACCAGACATTGTCTAATTTATATTTTATAATAGTCTAATAAATCAGTAATATGTGACATCATTAACTTACATTAAGTCATAAGCTATTTATACAAACAGAACTTCAGTTTAATTATGACTAGCCCTATTAAATGTACATTGTCGGAAACACTGAAAAGTGAAAACAGAAGTTTGGCTGTAGTCATGTGCAGTTTAGACAAGTCCTAGTAGGTAGTAATGCTAATATATACAAGTTGTTTCCCTTAATGATTTCTCAGCATGCATGTTTGACAGTTTATTCCAGCCAGCATTGTAAAATGTATGCATATTGAAGTCATACGTCATGTTTTCACAGAATTCCTTGTTATATATGGAGGGAATATTAATAAAACACAAAAAATGAAAACACTGTATTCCTAAAGTGTAGATATAACAAGAGATACTTATTGGTTTAAATTATCATGTTTTTTATGTAATACAATGTGAAAAACATTAAAAACATCTTCATTCATTCCCTAATGGTTTTCAAACTTTGTAAGATAAAGTTATGACTATCAAAAGTCTTATTTTACAAAATAATTGATGTTATTCTAATTTTTATGTTGTTTTACTTTAAATTTAGGCTACTTAAAGAAAATTCAAAATAGAAGGTTTTTTACTTTGGCTAAGTATGTAGTCACCAAATACAGATTATCTATGATTATTCATTTTTTGAAAATATATTACCCATTTCCTTATTTTTGAGCTCTTCCCTTAGTTTTTGTACAGGCCTTGGGGTTTGGTAGAAATCTTTATGGTACACATTAAATGATTTAATCATTTACTAATGAAAAATGGTTATATAGAAAGTCTAAATATTATTGGATACTATACATAGAGCAAGAATTAGACAATCACATACTAGTGTAGTAAATATATAGGTATAATTTCTTTTATAGTTTCTGTCCATTCAGTTCCTTTCCTTTGTCAACAGTGAAAGTATTTGTGTGTTTGAAAGCTACAGAAATTTTCTTCAGTGAGGAGAGGTCAGATAACTTGGGATAAGGTAAGCTTATACACTTTATAAATAGGATGAATGGGTAACAAAGAAAACTTTATTACAGGTTTAACACAGTAATAAATATACAATGTTTGGAGAAGGTTTAGTGATCATCAGGCACAAGAAGTTTAGACACAGGAAGATAAATACACAATATTAAACAATGAAGTCACATGACTGAAGAGTTATTAAGGTTTAATAAAGAATATCTTGTTGATGTCTGGTTCTTTGTTTAAAATTATGGTATTTTTACTTCTCAATAGATATATTATGATTTTATTGAGTTGTAATGTTTATTAACATTATTTTTTTTTACCACACACATTTACCAAATAAGGTTAGTCAAGTGTACTGGTGAGTAGAGTTTGAGTGCAAAATATTCTGATGACAAATATTTATTAAGTATTATTTTTATGTTCTTCAAATAAAGAATAACCATGTTTCTTTTTTAAATAAGAACAATATTACCCCTAATGGTGAAAGGTGACAGTAAAAGTAAATATGTCTCCATAATTTTCTTTACAGCAGATTAGTGAAGGATTATTACATATTCTAAAAAGAAACATAATGGTGACTCCACAGTAGTGATGTTTAGCTGACATTAGTGATACGTTTGCCAAGTATTATACATGTGTGAAAAATATTCCACAGAAGTAAAATGCTATCCAAATAAGTCATAGAGATAACACACAGGCACCTTTCTTTATTTGTGCTTGTACAGATGTGCTGGTACAGAATGTGAATGTATTAATTGATTAATCAATAAATGAGCCTGTCAATTAATCGATTAGTAAATTCCACTAAATGGCCAGCCTTACTCAAAATGTTGCCAGATCTCAATCGAAAAACAAAGACAAGGACACTAGTTTTCTTGATATCTGACCTTTCCTTAACTCAATATTCATGTTTCATGCCTAGGAAAAACTGAGAAATGAAAGTGAAGCTATCTGAACTCCATGAGGGCCTTTTCCTAAGTCAGTAATTCTACAGAAAATGCTTCTACAAAAGATAAACTTTCCTTAAAGAAGCAGATAATATTGAAAAAAAGCCTTCATCAGAATCAAAGGAGAATATTAATACAACAACAAAACAACTGAAAGGTCACTTGTGTTTACATTACTTGGGTAGAGATTTTGATCTTTTAATTTTCTCAAAGAATTAAAGAAAACACATTTTAAATTCCGTTATAGGTAGAAATTATTCCTATACTTATGCTTTTTTCTGTGTCATTGAGACAACCATCAGTGCAGAAGGTTTAATACTGTTTTACCTAAATTCACGCTCATTTTGATTCACATCAGTATATTTATAAAAATTTTTGCTAAACATTTCTTTCTTGCTTTTAATGCTCTAAATAAATCAAGTTGATACAAAAACTTTCCAGAAATATGCTGTATACAGTTAAATAAAATATGTAAATATTGATTTTTATTGCACAATTGTTCATTTGTATTGAATAATTTTATGCATTTTAAAAAATTTGTAATGGAAAAAAAATTATTATATCGGTAAAAGATGTATAACTTTACTAGTATCATTTTTTATATGACAGAGTGAAAATTAAAAAAGAGAAGCCATAATAAGGTGAAAAATTAATGAAACTCCAGAATAAAAAGTTATTAATGACATTTTTGATGAAACTACTTAGACAAAGTGACATATTTTGAAGAAGTATAAACTGAAATGTCAGGTAATAAACTACTTAGACAAAGTGACATATTTTGAAGAAGTATAAGCTAAAATGTCAGGTAATAAACTACTTAGACAAAGTGACATATTTTGAGGAAGTATAAGCTGAAATGTCAGGTAATAAACTACTTAGACAAAGTGACATACTTGGAAGAAGTATAAGCTGAAATGTCAGGTAATAAACTACTTAGACAAAGTAACATATTTTGAAGAAGTATAAGCTGAAATGTCAGGTAATAAACTATTATTTTGAATTTTAATCATTTTTTGACTTATTTTGTAAATCTTTATATCTTACACTTTCAAATCTTACTAAAAAAGGTTTTACAAAAAAAAGAAAAATTAATAATGATTGAACGATAAAACAAAAAAGAAGTCACCTCAATTGTTGAGCAGATATCACTGGGATCACATGTGGTCAAACTACCTAAAATAATTACTACTTCTCGACTCGTATGTCCTGGCATGTGTCTAGAAAAATAATTTATATTGTTAGATCTTCAACTTTCCCTTAAATTATTTTGAACAATTAAAAAACTGTCTTTTGTCACAAAATGGAAAGGTGCAAGAATCAGTTCTTCTGTGATCAATTTTGTAAAAATTATTTATAGATAAATATATTCATAGGGGCATGCAATTTTGGAATGTTAACATTTTTCTTAAACCAACATTTTTTTCCAATAGATACATATCTCCTCTCACAAAAAAGCTTTCTTAACTTATGCTGCCCTCTATTGGCATAAATGTTTGCTCACCACTAGTTTTGATACTCCCACTTATTTCTACACACTAGCATGCAAATGATTATACAGCAACCCTCGCCCTAATAGGAGTGCAACACTACCCCTATCGTAACTAGAGCCCCCTCTAATCTTGCAGCTGTTAACCACTTTGAGATTGATCAGATCATACCAAACCACAACAAAAATGGGGAGGATGAGAGGGAAATGCTAGCAGAGGTAAGTATCTATCGAAAATACATTTTCAGTTTAGGAAAATGTTAACTTCCGATACAATATCTTACCTCCTCTCAAAAAAAGCTGGAATCCCACACTGAACAGGTGGAGGGCCAGTTAGAAGATGATTTCCCTTTAGGAAATGCCCAAAGGAAAACCATGGGGTGTGAGAAGGAATTAAAAACAACACACCTGTGGGAAACCACACCAATTCTGAGCCAGATGTACTCTTTGCCATTTAGTAATGTGTCACCAAAAAGGACAAAAACATGGAGGAACTCAAAGAAAAAATTAGAGATATAATAGGACCACCTGTTGTAGAGTTGGTACAGCATAACAAACCACAAATGGGAGTTTGACCTCAATCGACAACTGGCAGCATCTGGAATTTAACATCAGGCTCACAGTAGGAAGAGGGTCCTCTACCTTTCACCTCAAAAATGGGTACCTTCAGGGAAGATTAGCTTCCGTACCAAGAACCCAACCAATCAAGACTGAAAGCATCAACTGCAAACACCAGAGGATGAAGAACAGGAGACCAAATCAGGGAAATCATATATTGAGAAGAGTGGCAAAAACTTCTAAATCTGGGGCACCTAACAGAGCACATAAAACCAGGTAGATCCAAAGACCAAACCGCAAGGAGAATCTTGGTGGGACAGGATAACTGATCTGTGGCCAGATTCAAGGCACCTGGATTATGACATACCACCAAAGTTATGGGATGGCAATGTGCTCAACACAGAAGATCAAGTATAAGAAAACAGATGTCTGTTGACTGAATGCCCCTTGCCTGGTGATGTACTAGACTACCATAGAAACGTCAAAGTGAACCATCACCAACCTGACCCTAAAAGCCCACAAGTGAAAGAAAGCCTCATGAACAGCAAGAAGTTCCAAGATTGATATGGAGAAAGGACCTGAAAAGATACCATTGGCCCAAAACCTTCCAAGTGTCAAGATACACCCCCAACCAGAAAAAGAAGCATCCGTAAAAGGGGACATTCGAGACGAGGAAGAGAAACACCCATGGTAGTATTGTTCCGTTTCAACCACCAGTCAAAGTTGGTCTGTAAAAAAGGGGGAAGCGTAAGAAGGGCAATTAAGTGATCTGTTGTCAATTTAATAAGTTACAGGGACATTCACTGTTCTGAAAACACAGGATTTACATGACATCTTTCTCATTCCAGTGAAAAATGTTTAGTAACTATAGTTTTTCTTCAATGTAAAGACTAAAAATGTCTTGACTACTTTATATTTAAAATGTTAGAAACATATAGATGTGTCTATTTGTATTATTCATTAATGTATTTCCATGAATTCTCCACAAGCATTGAAAATTTTATGGTTTAGATCTTTTACATTATTTTGCTGACACAAATTGTGTCTCTAGGACATAGGTTTCACACTAATCTTAACCAATAAATAAATCACATATAACTCAGTGAATGTGATAAATTACTCTCCAGGGCACTGACATTCATTCTATACTTATGAGAACATGCAATACCATCTCATTTTAAATTTAGATAACACAGAAAACATGAAATGAAACATATAATGTTATGGTATGTTGTATAACACACCACATAATTTTGTTTATTATTAATTCTCAACCATCTCTGTGATTTGTGGAACCTACGAGTTGAATGTGGCCTCTCATACCTGCCCACATTACTTGTTTCTTTTCTTTTTTGTTTTTGCTTTGTACAAAATTATACAAATTATATAAATATTAAAAATAAATTGACTGAAGTAGATAAAACACCATTTATCATTAAGCTCTTAGCAAAGTGTAATAGTTTCCTTGACCATAAATTCAAAGATTCTCTCCTGATTGAATCTTATAAACAGAAATAATTCTTATTCTATGTAATTAGAAATTTTGTTTTGTTCAGTAACTTGTGTTTTTCTGTTGCTAAGCTATTCGAATTCTGTTTAACATGTGTGTGATAACACAACATTACTATTCTTAAGTCAGGTTTAAATTGTCTTACATGATCTTTTCGCTTATCAGTTTGTATTTGTATATGACACTAACTCTTGATAAAGGCATAAGGTGAAACATAAGGTGAAAATAATTTTTTCTGGAATTTGTTAGTCGTTTTTTTTTTGTAAACATGGTTTCAATCCTCTAGTCTGCTCTTCAAAGTTCAAAAACTGATATACATGAATTTTTATTCAATGTGTAGACTCTCCATATATTTTCCAATTTGCTGTTGTTTTAGTTTAAGTAAAAAACTTACAATAAAAACTACATATTTTGCTCAAAACTAAAATTCAACCCAGTAATGAAAATAACTAATTAAATATACTGTTCTTAAATTCTTCTAAAAATTAGAATGCATTGTTTCATCAGTTGGGTACCCTCACTGTTAGTGAAACTTTAAGCCTTATCATAGAATACTTGTTATATATACAGATGGTTCTCTACCTTTTTGTGACTTTTTTTTAGTGGAAGAAATATTGAAAACAGGCCTACAATAAGATTTTTACAAGTGTATGTGAGCTCTGGTTTTTAAATTTGCCATAACCATTGTTGGACAAACTGAAAAATCAACCACTTTTACACAACTGATATATTAAAATTGGAATGTACAAGTGAAAATGTACAGTATAATATCCATCAGCAAACTTTGTTTCTACATTAAAAATAATAGTGTTTTAGGTACCAAGAAGAGCATAAATATATTCACCATTACAGTAACATTAGTTATGGCAGAAAGTATTCAGAAGTATGTTATCTAAAACCTTATTGTAATGTTCATGTATGTTTGCCTAAACTCTACCAGACTCTTGGACTAACAACAGTTGTGGGAGGAGGGCATGGAATTCATGTCATAAAGCATGTAATATTAAAAGTGTACACCTCAACTCAACTGAATAGACATCAACTGTAGGAGGAGGGAATGGTTTGTTAGTACATGCTCGCCTCAACTCAACTGAACAGGATATGACTGTAGGAGGAAGGCACGGTATAGTGACATGGGTTCACCTCCATTCTACTGGACAGTTGCAGCCTGCAAGAGGAGAGCACAGCCTTGTAATGTGCTTGTCTCAACTATAAGGAACAGATGCAGACTGCAGAAGGACAGCACAGTATAATAGGTTGTGCTTCTGGCATAATTATGTATGAGGGGTAATCTGACAGTGTCACCACCACCCCCAATTCTCAGTAACTGGCACCTCTTATTCTAGCCCCAGCAGTTAGGTCCCAATCAGTGAAGTTCTACATGTTCTGCCCTGCCACCCAAGCAACTAGGAACTGGTAAGTGGTAAGAGTTTCCTGTGCTATACTCAAAGAAAACAAAAGGGGGAGGAGAAATTCACAGTGGGGGAGACCCAGAAAAAATGCACAGATATCATTGGTCCTGTTTTAGCTTTAAAAATCTCTTACTGGAGACAGTCCAATGAGTGACTACCTAACCCTATTTTGAAAAGCCAGTAAGCATGAACCAGGGAAGCAGGCAGAGCACCCTCTGGTGCCAGCTTTTTCCAGGATACTCCATGGAATAGGCATGATCTGGATTGAACAGTAATCAGATATCAGAACATACCATGAGAATATCTCAAGTGGTCTTTCAGAACATATATGGCATATATGAAGCCAGGGAAGATGATTCTGTAAACAAATGCTATAATACGAAGGAGAATGTACTCACCTGTCTAAAGACAGTGGATAGAGTGAAAGATAGCAAATGGAGGTAAGACGAGACAGCCAGATGGTGAAGACAGTGGATGACAAAGGTGTGAGATGTAGTCCACATGTCATCCTGTGGGCAGGACATAGTCTGGCTTAAAGAGCCAGTCTGCAATTAGGTTCACAGCTCCCAACACATGGCAGGCAATTAGGCAAACCCACTAAGAATTGTTCCAATAAAGAAGGTTGAAGGTTTGAAAATAAAATATCCGTGATCAAGTACCCCCTTGATGGTTGATGTAGAAAACAACAGTGAAGTTGTCAGATTAAATCATAACTAAATGATCCACTAGGAGGGGTAGAAAGTGGGAACATGCCTGATGGACTGACAGAAGTTTGAGCACATTGATGTGGAGAGAGGATTCATCATATGTCCAAGTGTCCAATGTAAGAATGTCATTCAGAGATGCTCCTCATCCTGAGAGGGAAGCATTGATGAAGAGGCGTATGTTGGATTTGGGTAGAGGTAGAGGAACACCAACAGTATTATTGGATCGGTCCAGCCACTAACAGATATCCTTAAGTAGAGGAAGGGACAGGAGAACCACTAAGTTCGAAGGTTCCTGTGAGTGGTTCCACTGGTTGCACAAGGACCATTAGATGAGGCACATATGAGCACAACTCAAAGGAATAAGAGATTACAGTGAAGCCATGGTCCCCAAATGCAATAGAACCTCTCACACAATATGAGTGGGAGAGGCTCGCATTATGGTGACAAAATGTTCCAGAGCTTTCAGGCAGATAGGAGGAGGTTGGGTCCAGCTGAGAAAGGAGTTGAATAAAACTCCCAGGTAAACAAGATATTGAGTGGGGGTTAGTAAGGATTTGGAAGTTTTGACACACCATCCAAAATGGGTGGCTTCTCAAAGAAAAGAGGTATGAAGGGTCTTCTTATGAGTGGGATAGGAGAAGCCAATCATCCATGTAATAATGGCGATGGCAATTGAAGGCCCTGACCACAAGGTTGAAGATGTAGGGGGCCAACAGAATACTAAACAGAATAGACCATAACTGGAAGATACAATCTAGATGAATGAATGGTAGGAAATGTTATGAAAACTCTGCAATGGGGATATGAAGGAATGCTTCTGAGATGTAAACTTTGGTCACCCACAGCCTGGGATAAAAGGACCAATGGAGGGAAAATAAATTTTCCATACTAAAATGATGGACGACCATGTAATGACTCAGGGATGAAAAGACGATAATTGGCAGCCAGTCCCCTGTCTTTTGGTGAACATAAAGAGATGAGAGTAGAACCCCAAAGAAGGGTCATACATCTTCTCTATGGCCTGTTTGTGTAACAGATACGATACCTCCGCTCCCAGACATTTAAGATAGATTGTATCTGAAGGAGAAGAAAAGTAAACTGAGGGAAGGGTGAGAAGGAGAGGGGGAGGAGAATTGGAGGGTTAGTCCATGAGTGAGGCCAAGAGTAACCCATCTGTCTGAGGACAGTTGTTTCCAAAGGTGTGCAAACTGCAACAGATAAGTCCCCTTGGGGCAAAGCATAGGTCTCCTAAAAAGGAGGAAGGCAGCTGAACATGGGAAAGGAGGGTGAAGTGCCTCTGACATCAGGTGCATAGAGGAAGGGTAATGATGCACAAAAAGGAGGATCAGGCGAATACAGGAGAATTGGGCACTGGAGAGCAAAACTGATCCCAAAGGGTCTGCCCCCCCCCCCCCAAAATGGGCAAGTATGATTCTAAAGTCTGTGACCTGAGAAAGGGGAAGTTTGAATGACTGTAGGCCAGGATAAAAGAACCACAAAGGCAAGGAGAATGAGGCATATGGTTGCAGGAACATAGGTGGTCTAAAAAAGGAAGTAGCCTGAACACCAATATCAGGAGAAAGGGGTAAACTTAAAATTTGTCAGGGATAGGATTGTGAAGAAGGAAACAGTAAGAGTCATATAACAAAGGGGCAAGAGATAGAATGGAACATACCTGAGCAATAAGATCCAGATAATGTGGGAAAGTCAGAATATTCTCCTCAACAGGAAGTGAGGTTCCTAAGGCATAACCAGGAGGAAGAAACGAATGGTCAAACTCATCTTCCTCTTCATTCTCCCCTTCAAAAGGAGGGGAAGGAACACCAGAGGAATGGACAGGTGCTTAAACTCCTGGCTGCATAATAGAACCCACTACCCTATGCACAATGGCTGTCACATTATCCACACTCAATGTGCCTCCAGTAGCCATGTTTGAAACTTGACTTTTATAAGGAAAGTCCTCACTCACCCAAGAAGTTGAAGAATTTACATGAAACTGAGAGTTCCTATTTTGAAAAAAGTAAAGAAAACATATTCCCTTAAGCTAATGCAAATCTCTGTAACCGGTAAAAAAAATAAAAAAAATGTCTGATATGTCCTGTGCCGAGGAAAAAGAATGAAAACCACAAGTGCAAAACATAAAGACAGTTACTGTGCAAGAGAGGTTGTATCATCATCCTCTAGGTGGAGGGCTTTTATTGCATAACAACATCAATTCATGAGAAATCTCATTAGTTTCTATGGGAGTTGCCTTAAAGTTAGTGGAATACATATCTCTATGGCAGATGTACAGTGAAGACAGCTTTCTGTGTGAAGAGGTGTGTATCGTCCCAAAAGTTCCAAGTCTACTTAACAGATACACAATTTATGTGTCACTCATGAAGTCACAAATTAACTTTGAATATTTATATTTTAATTTTTCATTTAATCCAACATCATCGACTTGTTTTTATATAATTTGCTACCAGTGGTGGTTCACATATTACATTATGTTGAGTTATTTCATATTGTGCGCTGTTGCAAAACTCATTGTAAAGAACTGAACTGACTAATACAAACTGAGTGAAATCACTCATTTTCTATTGGTAAGATACACAGGAAACATCAACAGCAATTAGTAGAATTAACTGCAGTACTGACAGTTTACATTTCTTAATGTGCAACTTATATGTTATCTTGAGTACCCATGAAATGTGGTACTTAAATAGTTTAGAAAGTTGTGTTTAAAAATCTGATGACATTCATGTGGATCCTCCAAAGTAATTTTAGGGTTAACTCACACTATCAGTGTGTCTGTAATTAATATTTTTCATCTTCACTTAGATCAATTATAATATTAATCTTTATATAAAAGGTAGTAGGTTAAGAGCTACTTCTGTAAAATGTATTACTAAAACCAAACAACATAAAAATATATAAACATAACGTAAACAACATATAACTCAAGTTACAATAAAAATATTTTAAAAAATATGATAGTAAAGTTTAATTGAAAACACTTTACCAAATAGTAAAATGTAACTCATTGCTATTGAATAATATTCATAAAATACAAGATAAGGCATACGTAAGGTATAACATTAGTTAGACATTTTAAGAGAAACTGCTACAAAACAATAAAAAGATAAAAATGCTTAATGAAGAGCAAAATTTTACTTGTGGCCTAATCAAAATGTTCAATTGCATCTATAACTTTAATAGTCTGTTTGATTACTAGGATAAATAACTTTGACAATAACAAACAAAGAGTAAGAACAATAATATTTTACACTTAAAGAGAGAGAAACAATTGAATGTTGTAACTGGATATTACATGAAAAAAAACGTTACAGTTTGGATATTTTAAGGACTTTTTGAAAAAAACAACAACATATTAACCCTACAAAGACTACAAGAAAAAATATTAAGAATTGTGAAATGTGCGTGAGACATCCAAAAAAAAATCAAGATCTCAATTGTTTTTCTGAACTTTAGAGAAACCAAAATGTAAAATATATAGATAAAACTCTGGTAAGTGAAATGATAATTAAGCTTAAAATAATTTTTAAGAAAATATAATAGCTACAAAACCTTTCCAGTGACAAAGGTTTTTTTTTTCCACTGGTTTCATTAAAACAAAATTTCATGTGTTTATTACCCAACTCAATAGCATCTATTATAATAATACTCAGTTTTTGTATGTCCTGAAAATTTAAGTGCACCTTATTATCTAAATTTCAAGAGATGTAAACAAAAGATGGATGTAAATATACTTTAGAAGGTATTTTGTACAACACTATATTAAAATCTTAAAGTTCTTACAAAATCTAAATTACAAGTTGATTTACTGACAGTATTAAGTACAATAAAATTTCACCCTAACTAAACTATAGCAAAAGCATACAAAAGTTAGTGTTAATTTATCTCATTATAAAATGTAAGCTGTACTTAATAAAGGACTAACTAATGTTAGGCCTAATACAAGTGAATTAACAGATTTCAGTGTCTGTGATTAGAATGCTTTTGTATTATTCTAGAAATCCTATATTTAATGAAGTACTGTTGCATTAAAGATACTAATTTGACTAAAAATGTTTCACATGTCTCTGCCAGAGTGACAATCTTTAGTACGCAGAGTTAAAAGATTTTTTTTTATAAACTTTATAAAATTTGAATCAAATATAATTACAACCAACTGAATGTATGAACTACCATAGTATTATTTTTTTCATAAGATCCTCTTTATTTTAGTACTAAAATGATTATATAAAATCACTAAACAAATATACGATTTAAGGTTTTATACGTATGTCTTACTTTAAGGTTTGAGCAGCCAATTCTAAGGAATTTTGCAATGAAGGTTCCCCTACACAGACAGCATCAGCTATATCCTTTAAGCCTGCCATGCAATGCTTAGCATTTCCTGTAGAAAAGATATGTAATTGACAACTTTTACATTCAAAAAGATAAAAGGCCATGACAAATAGAACCATAGACAGAAAGAACTAAATAAATATGCATTTCTTTTTCAAAATAATAAATAAACATCAAAATTATATGTGTGAATTACCTACAAGGGAAACTCAATATAGCTGTACAGTTTTTGTTTATTAGCTTTAAACTTATTCTTAAACATACCTTGGACTAAAAATAAAGTACTATGTAAAAATAAACAAAAACATGTTTTTAAATTTGATGACGAAGAACCCACTTTGAGACTAATAATGGCTGGAGAAGGCTTGAATGGGTAATGAAGAAAAACTTTAATACAACAGCAAATGTACAACGTTTCGACAAGGTTTTGTCATCATCAACATGTTTTTGCCTATCCACAGCTTATTAAGTTTACACTGCTTCAAAACCTTAAATGGCTGTCAGATAATCTTTACTTGAACTTTATTTTTAATTTGTTGTAAGTTATGTAAATGTATGATGCAAGAAACTGACAGTTGGATTATAAACAAAATTCCTTTTCAAACTCAAATACAATTGTTCTTTAACTGGCAAGCTTTACCCAAGTATTTTGATTTACTGGAAGTTGCTTTTTAGGTGCTCATATCCAGAAACTTCTTTGTCTGAATTAAGTTTGTTTCTTATAATGTAGATAAGGAAAATATTGGCAGGCTGTTTCTCAAGAATGTCTTTATATGACTACTTGATCACATTTTTTGCCACACAGAACAACAAACTGTAGCTGACATCTCAGAAAAAAGTGTCTCAATAACTCAACAGAACATTAACAAAATTAAATGGCTTGCTTACATAGTACAATAATAATTTTTATTATACTTTTTACTTTAAACAAATAGTCAAACCACCTATTAATTTCAATGTAGCAATGAATGAGTGTCAAAATGACTGATATGGGCAATACAGAAATAAAAGTCTCTCTTCTTCATCAATATCAATGAAACAATGGCTTCATCTATCAATACATATGTGTATAACTAATAGATACAAATACCTGTAAGAGAATTTAAAGTAAAGATCACTTAAAGCCCAACCAGAATAAAAAAACTTTTTTTCAATATAATCTAACTTTAGAAAACTCAGTTCTACTATGCAATTAAATAAATAAACTCATTACATTAGATAAAAGAACAATCAAACACATATGATTTTCAAAATGTACTTCAGCTCCAAAAGTCTATTATCACACAATGTTTCAAATTCATTCATGGACTGTGAAATATGTTTCAAGTAGGCATTAATCTACAGTCAATCATGTGTTTCATAGTGGAGAAACATACCAATGGGTACACAATACAAAACCAAAGCATTTAACTATCACACCAGGATGGTTGTATTCTGCCTTGAGGGAAAAATTTCAATATCATATTAAAACATTATAGAAATAATCTTGAAATGGTTCTTCCACACAGTAAAAAAAAAATACTTCAGTGTTGAAAGCTACTCAATAAAAAAGTTATGGTCATCTAATATTCTACAAAAATATTTAAAAAATCCAAACTTTTGATTTTGGGTTGATTTAATTTCTGAATGAAAACATTAATGTTTGTAAATTTCCAAAATTTCTTATGAGCATAATATGGTACTCATAGCACCCTAGGAGGTACATCATAATAGTTTTGAAAAAAATAATACAAATTTAACCTTGTAACTTGCATACAAGTGTAGTTTCATCAATATTTAGCCAGTTACTGTTTCTCAACCTCGGCTGTTTTGGACAAACTACATACTAAGTTTAGCTAGTTGTTTTCTTCTGATTACCTTTAATATTGTTATATTATTATGTTTTTATCAGCTATTATGTAATTTATTATTTTGTATCTTCATTAACCCTGGTTTTGTTTGTGCTGTGGGAAAGTTTATGCTATCAATCCAACACGGTTTAAAGTAAAACATACTAGTTTTTAATATTCACAGTTAGGATAGCCTCTGGCAGTATATAGTTGGAGTGCTAAAACCAGTTTTCTTTCACAAAGTTAGAGAGAGCAAGGTTCCAAACAAATATATAACAATGACTATGATTCAACACAAGAACTAGCATTTCTGTGTTTCCTAAGTAAGGTATGCTATTTTTATTTCTTCTTGTTTCATTAATAATATTTGTTATACTAGTTAATACATAAAATATAATTACTTTTTATTCTTGTTTGTCACTTATAATTATACTTTAATTATAAAGACTGTTTTGCATTGTTAAATTAGAACTTGTATTTAGAAATAATCTAAATTTCCTAAACTGGCCAAACCTTGAGAGATATTATTAGGTTTACAGCCAAAAAATATATTTAACAGCAAGGAACCCAACTTATGAAATAAACCATTCTATTCTTTTTTAATAGAAACATAAGAGAAGTATATTTAATTAGCTATACTGATGACCTGGTTGATTTTTAGTTTTGCTGTAAATACATAGCTTACTCTGATCAGAAGTTACTATTATTATTATTATTATTATTATATATATATATATATATATTCACATGCTGAGTGCTGATTTGTGTCAATAAACACAGTGAAACTAATTAGAAATTTCTCCCTTCAAAAAATATATTATTATTCATAATATCTTACATATAATGCATACTTTGTCTTTAGGCATTCTAACCTATTTAATTTGGTATGCTGTTGAAGTTCCTTTTCCATGGACAGTCATTTGACAAGTGTGTACATAATGAAGAATAAAACTGCAATCTAAAATTTTTGATAACAATGTAGACATATACAAGAATCTTGAAGAATAAATCCAAAAACGTCAACGTTTAAGAGCTTTATAGCATTAACATATAATACACAGAAGCAGAGACTGTATATATTTGATAACTACATCATGTACATACGTGAACAATAAGTTGAGACTGTTAGAGCTGTGCAAGTATTCAAAATTACAAGTTCAAGTCAAGTCTCATTTTAGTCTCCACTGGAGCCTGAATGCAAAAATATTTAATTCTAACCTCTGATTAAATGATTAGTAAATGTGGATTTAAAATAAGGAGAGAAAGGAGAGTTTTCTGGAAGAACAAAAAATCATATCATACACAAAAAAACTCTTATTTTAAATCCATTAACCAAATACCTAGTGACATTATACAATATAAAGATTTGTTTTAATGTTTAGTACCTCCCATTTTTCTAACATGTAAATATGAGCTGAAGCAATCATGTATACCTACATAATAAAGTTTTATTTTTTTAGCTTAAAGTGTACTATATAGTCAATTTTCTAGTGTTACTGATTATCATTATTCATTAGTACTTCCAAAGTAGATAAGTGCATGCTTTTACTTTAATAAGAGTCCAATGCATTTACTCTTTTGATAATCATCAATTATTTTTAAATATCAGTATTACCAAACACAAAGTATTAAAAGTGTATTACACTATCATTTATATATTATTCCTAGTATCATATTCATTAGTATTTCTGTATTAAAGCATTTCTACATTTTTTACACTTAAAGCATCATTTGTTTGTAATTATGCACAAAGCTAAACAATGGGCTATCTGTGCTCGGCCCACCACGGGTATCAAAACCTGGTTTCTAGCACTGTAAGTCCACAGGTAAAGCATCATGAAGGTTTGAGCATGGATTGAAAAAGAAATTATGACTCTAGAGATTATCAGTTTCATAACTGAAGCATGTACACTAGTTTCCTGATTGTCTGTGTTTGATAACTTTAAGATGTAAATATACACAAATTTCCCATATTGTCTATGTTTCATAATTACAACATGCACATAAATATCCTGAATGGTAAAGCCAAGATTCTCTATGTTTGTTAGATATACACAATTGTTCCAGTTTAACTTTAATGAGTGTTATGGTTTAGATAGTTCATATATCACAAATGTTAAATTTAATTATTTTAGAACTGATAGTTTATTACAAGATTGCTTATGTAACTGTTACAAATCATATGTTGTGCAGTTAAATAGTTATGAGGTGATGATTGTTATATTATTGCATCATCTTACTGCACCTTCTGACTTTTTCTCATTGTTTTAAGAGAGATTTATTGCATCATAATATCTATTAGTGTGTAGAATTTTCTATACCCCTATCAGGGTATAAGTAAACGTAGAAAATTTAGTTCAAGAGATAGATCTAAAGTATATAGTGCAATTTTTAAAGTGAAATTATCACAGATTGTATTATAATAATAGAGCAGAGAAGAATAATTCATCTTTTCAATTGTGTTTTAAAGTAACTGAACCAGCCTGTGTGGATTTTTATGAAAAAGAGAATTACTTAAAGCTCTGTATATAACTGTGATCACCACCAGTGTAACAAATATTTGTATATAAGATTTGTCTTAATGTATTATTTTAAAACAAGTGAACTGTGTGTTGTTTGTTATCGTTGAAATTTATCACCAATAAGTCACTGACATCTACTGTAAAGAATCCAGCCCATACACAAAAAAAACTAACAATGTTTAATAACAGCAACATGTATATGTACACAACTTTTCTGAAAGATAAAGCTCAGGTTGTCAATTTTTGATAATTATATAATGTACTCAAGTTTCCTGAAGGATAATGTCCTGATTGCATCTTTAAAAATGGGAAGGTTTTGATTGTTAATTACAAGACAACTGAGCATCAAGGTGTTTTTTTTGTGGGTTTTTTTTATAAGTTTTTATAGGCAAGAAGTAGGACAAATTCCACACGTGAATCTGCCTCAAAAACAACATACAGAGGGTGGAGTACATCATATTAAAACAGTTTTGAATATGCAAATAAGCAATCACTTGACAATCACTAAAGATATAGAATTGCAGTGGAACTTAATGCATCATAACCAAATTTTGACGCTATTTCATTTCAACATTTTTTAAGTTATATGATTCCATCCAAAACTGATCACTTTTGGAAAAGTTATGTAACAGCCCTTCCTGAAAGTAAACATTTTCCAAAATTAAAAATGTATTTTTGATAGATACTCAACTCTCTCA